TACAAGTCTGATTAATAGGGTTTAAGAAAACTTGGGTGATTTATGCAAATATGCATAAGATAAACCTTAATATAAAAATACATTTAAATTCTGGTTATTTACAATTCATGCTTCCAAGTTGAAAAAAAAAAGTAAAGATATAAAAAATGTTTGGGGTTGCCACCAAGCCTGATAATCTGAGTTGATCCCCAGATCATGAATGGGACAGGGATCAGACAATTAACTCTGAAGGTAACAAAAGATAATATATTAAAATCAAAAGCTATTTCTACCTATATTAGCACACTGCTTCTGAGTAACAGGCTACCTTGTGCATGGTACCTCTGTGGCCACAAAGAATCACCATCACTTTGCAGGCTTCCATAACTTGCCACAGACCTTTCTTGGTGTTAAAAGAGTGCAAATTTGACTTATCTGGCCATGGCCGACCCAGTCAAATGCAGAAAACTAAACCCTATGTCCGCTTTCTCCTGGGAATTTACCTCCCCATGTTAAAGAAATAAAACTAACCCACATTTTGATGAGAAAAGATAATAAATGTTATGTGTCTAAACTTGATTTCAATTCTGACCCAGGTTTTCACTTGGAGAGTAAACTTGTCCTGTTGCTGTAAAGAGACCCTACAACCAGGAAAACTCTTATAAAGGAAAACATTTAATTCAGGCTGGCTTATATGGGGTGATGTTTTATTTGTGCTTTAACAAATAAAGCTTTCCTGAAGATCAGAGTGCAGAGCTAGACACTAGTTAGCCAGAAAGGCCAGGCAGTGGTAGTGCACTCCTTTAATCCTGGCACTCAGGAGGCAGAGGCAGATGGATCTCTGTGAGTTCAGGCATAGGATGTAGGGTGGTTATGAGGAGTTGGAAAGATGGGGAAAGAGATGTTATTTAATGAACAGGGAGTTTTGCTTTGTAAGATGAAAACATTCAGCAGCTGGTATGTAAAAAAAATGAATGTAGTTAACAGTGCTGAACTAAAAAACTGTGATCTAGGAGCAGGGGTAGTTCTGTGGTAGACAGAGCACTTGCCAGCCTGCATGAGACCCTGGTGTTGATCCCCAACACACCCAAAAATAGAAGTGAAGGTAGTTGCTTCTATATAGCACAGATTTTATCACAATTAATAAGAAATGAGAATCTAGGTACTTGGCCCAGGCCTGTAGTCCTATGTATTTGTGACGCTGGGGCAGGAGGAATTTGAGCTCAAGAATTTTAAGCCAGCCTAGGAAAGCTTAATGAGGTTCTCTCTCTAAAGGAACCACAATTTAGGACTGAAGAGATGGCTCAGTGGATAAAAGCTCATACTGTTCTTCTAGAAGAGTTGTATTTGATTCCCGAACCCACATGGTGACCCTCAACCATCTGTAATTCCAGCTCCAGGGAGTCCGATGCCCATCTCTGGCCTCCTGAAGCACCAAGCACACATGTACACAGATACACAGTTGGGCAAAACAACTATACACATAAAATAATTTTTTGAATTATTTTAAAATAATAAGATATGGAATGGAGAGTTGGTTCAGTAGTTAGGAGCATTTGTCTGGTGCAAAGGATCCGGGTTTGATTCCCAGCACCCACATATAAGAGACTCTCACCACCTCTTTAGGCACCAGTCAAGTATGTGGTGCACAGACATTCATGCAGGCAAAATACTCACACACATAAAATAATAAAAGTAAATCTAAAGAAATTTAAATAATAAAATAAATCTTTAAAAAGAAAACACAGTTTTACTTCTGGACAACTCCACCCAATAGGAACTGACATTATCTCCCATTTTAAAATGGGAAGCCCTTAATATATATTTGTTGAATTAATTTAAAAATTAAACCTTTTTTCTCTTTCCCTTTGTGTTCCTGACCAGAATGGGACACATGTTTGAGAAACTTGGTTTGAGAAAGTTGTTATCCTCATACTGAAACATTCAGACCTAGAATAGGAACAACTAGAAACACTTCCACTAAGTGAACCTGAAGCCTTTTTAGAAGCCAGAGTCTGTGTTTATCCACAGTAGATTACAGGCCCTCCCAACCCCTGGGCTGGAGCAGTGGTGCTTGTTATTATTGTTGTTGTTGGCTTGTTCAAAGGGAGGTTTTGTTTGGTTTTTGAAGGTGAGGTCTTTCTTTGCAGCCCTGGCTACCTAGAACTTTCTAGGTAGACCAGACTCTGAACTCACGGAGATCTTCCTGACTCTGCCTCTCAAGTGCTGGGATTAAAGGCCTGGGCCATCACTGGCTTCAAGGGTTTAAATGCTATAAAAAAAAAAAAACTCACAACATGAATATTATGGTTTCTGCCTAATTGTCTTTTTTTCCTTTTTGTTTTTGTTTTGAGACAGAATATTAAACTCACAGTCCCCCTGCCTCAGTACTCCAAGTACTAAGATCATAGGCACATATCAACATGCCTGGAAATTTAATTGCTCTATTTAACTCATTTTTCCCACTGTTAAAGAATGCAAGTGGGCTGGAGAGATGGCTCAACAGTAAAGAGCACACAGTGCTCTTCCAGAGAACCCGAGTTCAAGTCCCAACACTCACATCAAATGGTTCTCAACTGCCTGTAACTCCAGCTCCAGGGAATCATCCCATGCCTCTGGCCTCTGTGGGCATCAAGACATGGACGACACACACTTATACACATAGGTGTAAAAAATTTTAATTTAAAAAAATAATAAAAGCACATGAGGCTTTTCCCCCTTTCTAGACTTAAAAAATGAACGAAATGGTTTTTAATTACTTTCCAATCATGAACAAGTTTCCACACACTAAAGAAAATATACCCATACATAAGTTAGAGCCAAAAAAAAATAAAAGCCCTCTTCTCTAAAGTCTCTACAGTCTCAAACTGTTATGATTCTATAATTCATCTCCTTATGTGCTGCTGAGATACCAAGTGAACCCCACCAAACACACATTTGCTCTAACCCTGGGAGGAGCCCACAGGTCATCTTCTCCCTGAACCCAGCCTAGGCAGTGAATGAGGTCACAGCTGTGTGATGGAACAAACCCTTTCTTTATTGGATTCTTGATCTCAAGTCTCAGATGGTTGGTTGCTAATGGTTGGTTAGTAGCACAGCTCAAAAGTAGGTAAATGTCAGAATTTTGTATGATTTTATGCTGAGTGCTTTAAAAAATATATCAACTATATAAGAGATTTAAGGTATTTATTTTTAAGTATTGATTACTTCGAGCAATGGGGACAATTTCACAGCACCTTTCAAGTACCTAACTTATTGTCTCTGAGGTTCTCGGCTTACTGGTAGGTTCTAGATTCTGAATTCCGTGTAATTGAGTTGTTTAGAAACAGTGGCTTTCCAGGTTCTGAGGCAATGACCTGGGAGGAATGAATTCTAAGCAAACATTCTGAAATGTTTTTCTCCCCTCTGTGGTTTAACAGTACTTGCTTATTCATTATTCCCAAACTAACAGCCCTGTCTGTCTGTCAGTGAGTTTCCTGGTATACTCTATAGTTTGGAAAGCTCACTGGAGTGAAAATCCCCAAAGGGGACGATTGCCTCCCAGCCCTTGGTCTGCAGGCCATTTCTTAGACTATGCAGAAGGAAGGGAGGATGAGGAGAGCCTTAATAACAAAAAGAGTCTGTGAAAGAGGCTGTCCACTCTGCTTTCCTGAGAAAGCAGTGGATAGGGAGGTGGGTCCCAGAAGGAAAGCCTCAGAAAATGTACTCACTACGTGGTGGGTATTGTAAGACTGAAACAAATAAGCAAAATGCTTTAACGCTTCCTTTTGGGCAATTGTGACATGAAATGCTTCAGAATAAATGTTATCTTTAATTTTTCCTATGTATTCCTACAGGCTTTGTATCATATGCTATTTTTTAATTAGTTAAGGTATACAATTTGATGGTTTGTCGTACATATGCATTATAAAATAATCACTGCAATCAAACTAACAAAACAGTCACCTTTACATAGTTCTTTTGGGGCAGGGTCATGTAGGCAGATTTTGAGTACCCTGTAAAGTGGTGCTACCTGTCCATATGCCAAGTCTCTTTACAGCCACCTCACCTTGTATAACTGAAGGTTTGTCTTCCTTACACAACCTCTTCTGTAACCCGCTTCCCACCATTCTGTGCTTCTCTATGGGTTTGACTATTGTGGATTCTATATGCAAGTGAGAAAATATTTCTCTTTGAGTGCCTGGCTTATTTTGCTTAGTTTTTATTTAGTTATGGGGTTTTGGGGGGAGGGGCAGTTTTCGAGGCAGGGTTTCTCTGTGGCTTTGGGGGCTGTCCTGGAACTAACTCTTATAGACCAGGCTGGTCTGGAACTCACAGAGATCTGCCTGCCTCTGCCTCCCAAGTGCAGAGATTAAAGGTGTGTGCCGCCACCATGTGGCTTAGCTTTTTTAAAGACATGATTTTTACTTATGTGTATATATGCATGCAGATGACCATGGAGGCCAGAAGAGGGTGCTGGATCCATTAGGACTGGACAATTTTTGTGAACAGCCATGTGGGTGCTGGGAACTGGGTCCTCTTACAAGAGCAGTAAGAGCTCTTAACCACTGAGCCATCTCTCCAGCCCCAGCATTTATTTTTATATAAGATCAAAGAGACATTATTTAAAAGGCAGAGCCGTGACGAGAAATTTTGCTTATAGATCTTGGCACAGTAAAAGGACCTTTCCGAACAGCCCTCCAATTTTGCATATAATTCTAGTTTGTATTTGCATATGATGTCATTCTTTGAAATCCTAGACTTTTTAGCTTCAGGCCTTGAGCAGGAAAACTGAGAAAGAATGCAAAGAAATGATTCTATAAACAGATATGGTGGCACATGCCTACAGTTCTAGGACTGGGAAAGATCGGGCAGGAAGAACTGAGTTCTAGGCCAGCTGACCTACAAAGTGAGACCCTGTCTCAAAAGAAAAAAAAAAAAAGGAAAGGAAAGGGAAAGGGATGAGTGGATGGATGTATGGATGGATCTGTAGATTGATCCTTTCTTGTATCTTCTGAATTCCAGAAAGAGTCTCTGACCCCATGGCAGTTTCAGGAATTAAAACAACACTGAAGCTGAAGCCCTTAAGAGCACCCATCTTTCACAGGAGGTAAGTAATAAAGTATGAGATTATACAGCATCTTCAGATAATGAAGATAGAAGTTACATTGCGGAGACTAGGATGCAACAATTAGAATATTTTGTTCTGTGGTGAAGTTTCTTGGGACATCTGAGCTAGAGTTTTTATCCTGTACTTATTTTGTGTGTGTGCTCACATTATGCACCACAGCATACATACGGAAGTCAGAGGACAGCTTGCCAGGAGTCAGTTCTCCCTTCCACTCTGAGGGTCCCAGGAATCAAATGCAGAACCTTGGGCTTGGCAGCAAGCACCTTCCCGCTGAACAATTCTGTCGGCTTATGGGCAGATTTTTTAGTAAGCAGAGTTCTCATTCCCATTCTCTCAAATGAAGGCCAGTAAATTAGCCAATCACAGCCCACGACATACAAGGAAGATTCTTTCTCCTGTTACAGCAATGCTTTTTCTCAGTCAGCTGACAACAAATTCTAGTAAATAACCACACATGGCTGAAAGTGAGAGCCCAAGATACATTGTGTCACACAGTTAAAGGAAGAACACCCTCTCTCCCAGCCCCCCATTTTCTTTACCACTTTGAGGGTGTTTTCAGCTTTACCACTGCTAAAACAATATGTTTCTGACATTTCTAAAGAAAGAAGTAGGACAATAACCCCATAGCAGACAAACCCTTGTTGTCACTGCCCCCTTTTGAAATTCTGAGCTCTTTGACATTGAGAATAGTCCAGCAAAGACTAACACCAGGCCAACGGAATCACCACACTAGGTGAGAGGCAGAGCTGTGTTTGTTTCAAATAGGAAGTTCCCGATCCTTTGAAATATTATAAAATGGACTTTCTGTAGGGTTTAGTCCAAGATGAAGTTTGAAATGGTGCCATAATTTTTGTGGGGTTTTTTGTTTTGTTTTGTTTGGTTTGGTTGGGTTCCCCCCTCCGTGACCCCCGAGACAGAGTTTCTCTGTGGACCAGGTTGACTTTGAACTCACAGAATCCACCTGCATCTGCCTCCTGAGTGGTGGATTAAAGCTGTGTGATAACACCACCTGGCTCCACAGGTATCTCTTACTTGTAATTAACAAAAGTCTTTGTCCACCTGGCCTTCTGCTTTGCTTTGGGTTTTGAGGACATCACATTTCTGTGTCTGCTTACATCTTTTACATCATACAAAAATTATTTTTATTTGGAAATGCAACACATACATAATAACCTGAGTGAGAGCAGACCAGAGTCTGCAGAAGGTTAAGTTAGGAGATACAGAGGGGACACAAAAAGAAGAAATTGTATTAGAAAAAGCTAGGAACATAAAACAAATTAGATATAATTTCATGCCAAAAAGTTGAGAACAGGACATCTTAAGACCTCATCACTTCCTCCTAGACCAGGTGACTTTAAAAATAAGTTGAATTTAATGCTCTAGAGTTTAGTAAAGTAAAACGGAATGGTTTTATTGTTCAACTATAATATTTGTTATTCCTTCTAGTTTTATTCCATTAAAGGTTTTTTGTAAAACCACAAAAACTGGGGCTGGAGAGATGGCTCATCAGTTAAGAACACTGGCTGCACATCCCAAAGACCTGAGTTCAGTTCCCAGCACCCACATGGAGGCTCACAGCCATCTGTATCTCCAGTCCCAGGGGATCTGATGCCCCTTCTAACCTCTTTGGGTACCAAGAGTGCACATGGAACACACACTAAAATGCAAGGCAGGCAAGACAATAAAATTGTAACTACACAGAAGTATAGAATAATATTCAAAATTAATACATAAAAATTCATAAGATTATAAAATAAATCTGTCAATGTTTTAATAAAAATAAAACCATAAAAATAAGAGATTCTATATTCTTAGAATGTGTGTTATTAGTATCAAAACTAAAGAACATTTAAAATAAATTTATAGGAGCTAGGTGTAGTGGCATATGCCTATCTATAATCCTGGCATATAAGAAGATCAAGGCAGGAATATCAGGAGCTCAAAGTCATCCTTGGCTACATAGTGAGTTTGAGATCCTCCTAGGCTACATGGGATCCTGTCTCAAAATACTTTTATGGTTATTTAACTTGCTATTAAATTAAACTTAATTAAAAATAATTACATTCCACTTGCCATATTATAAGCAAAACTAGTTTTGTGTGTTCATAAATTATTGCAAATTTACACAAAACATCCTGGAGGTGTTAATATTCTCCCTCCTTTTCCAGATTTTACTTTCCTAAGGATGTAAAAGGCTACCCAGGCTGGCATTGGTGGTGCACGCCTTTAGTCCCAGCACTGGGGAGGCAGAGGCAGGTGGATCTCTGTGAGTTCGAGACCAGCCTGGTCTACAAGAGCTAGTTCCAGGACAGCCTTCAAAGCCACAGAGAAACCCTGTCTCAGAAAAACCAAAAAAAAAAAAAGCTACCCAGAGTTCCAAACTTTCCAGAAGTGTCCTCTGTCTCTATCTATATCATTACTTAATCTCTCTAATATGTGCTAAACATACATATTGGCAATGAAAGTTATAAAATAATGACACACGCAAAAGTTTCTCTACAAAGGTGGCAGCACATTATTTTCCAAACTGACCTGTGAAATTACTAGCTTCTAGCAATAGCTATAGCTTAAGATTTACAGCCTTTGACTTTGCAATCAGAGTCTCATCTCACACTTACCTGTATGACTCTGGACAAGCCATTTAATCACCCAGAATGTCTATTTGGTAAAACAAGGGAAATCAGGTAGTTTTGTTTTTAAAGATTTATTTATTTATTTATTTATTTATTTATTTATTTTGTATTGTGTTCTGCCTGCAGGTTTTCCTGCAGGCCAGAAGAGGGCACCTGATCTCATTATAGATGGTTGTGGTTGCTGGGAATTGAACTCGGGACCCCAGCCAGTGCTCTTAACTACTGAGCCATCTCTCCAGCCCTTATCTGTTTTTTTTTGTTTGTTTGTTTGTTTGTTAGTTTTTTTAAGAGAGGTAAAGGTAACTAGAAAATAACACGGTGGGCTGCAGCTGTCCTCATTGTCCCAGCCTTTCAGGCAGAAATTAACAAGTGACAGTCTGCTTAAGCACTGTGACTGAGCATATTGTAATACTTGTCACCATTATCATCAGGAAAACTCAAAGGTTCCACACCTGCATTAAATATGAGTCATCTCTTATCTCTTCCCAGAGATATAGACTTCCGGGGATCTCTTCTAGGCCAGGTATACCACAAAGAATCGAAGCTGAACCCTTCACAGCTGGAAGGTAATGAAAATCATCCTAAATGCTAAAACCTAACAACAGCCAAGGCAGGGGTGTGCATGCCTTTAATCCCAGCACTTGAAAGGCAGAGGCAGGTGGATGTCTGTGAGTTCAAGACCAGCCTGGTCTACAGAGTGAGTTCCAGGACAGCCAGGGCTACACAGAGAAATCCTGTCTTGAAAAAACAAACAACCAAAAAAAGACCTAATAACAACCCCTCCATGCTGGGGTCAAAGGTGTGCACCACCACTGCCCAGCTAGGTCAAATATTATCTAGATAACTTGTAAGGGTGGTAAACAACAAATCACATATTAATCAGCTAACTGAACAGTATAAACACAAAGTGCCAGAACTGGCCGGTGTGGTAACTGTAATCCTGGCATTAGTGAGGCCTCTAGAGGCAAGGGGACCACAAGTTTGAGGACAGCCTGGTCTACATAATGTTTGACAAACAAAATCAATTTTGTTCTCAAAAGACCAAATTAAATTAAAATGGAAACAAAATACCAGGATTTCTTAGAGACAGAAAAAAATGATAATGATGAAATTTGACTGTCTACAGATCATTGATTCAAATAGCAAACATATGTTTAGGCCAATAGTGTTAGAGGCATAAGAACAGTAGACATGTTCCTGCCCTGGATGGAAATATGCAAAGAAAATACACAGTTAAAGTATAGAATTATTCATGACACAGATAAGAGAGAAGTATTGAGTGCTATGGGAGTGTAACAATAAGTCTTTCTGCCAGGCCACCCAAGTTCTGTCTGCCGCCACTGCCATGTTAAGGTACCAAGTAACACACAGAGACTTATATTAGTTACAAATCCTGCTTGGATTTCTTATCTGCTAGTTCAGTCTTAAATATCATAAATCTATATATTTTATAAGACTTATCTTATTGGGTGCCAGCGGAAATGTCCTGTCTTCCCGGGGGTCACATGGTGACTCTAGAGCAGAGACCAGGAGGAAGAGAGAAAAGGACGACTTCCTTCTTGTCCTTGATTATAAATGAGTCTGCCTGCTATGTCACTTCCTGCCTAGATCACAAGATTTCTTTACTACATTTCCCAGAATCCTCCTTGACTCCTAGTCCCACCTAACTTGCTGCCTCATTGGCCAAACAGTGTTTTATTCAACAATCAATAAGATAAACATATGCAGAAGTACATTCCCCATCAATGGGAGCATAACATAGTGTCCTGATTTGGTTTTCTGAGGCAAGAAGGGACTCTAGAGAAAGCTGAATGATTTACGAGTAAGTCAGAGAAGAATGCAAAAGAATGTTCTAGGGAGAAAACAGAATCTATCCCAAAAAGGCACAGCATTATACACCAGAAAATCTACAGGGGCTTGAAAGAGAGCACCTGCCATGCAAGAGGGAAGAGCTGAATTGAGATCCCGGCACCCACATAAAAAGCTGTGTGTGACTATCCTGCCAGTACCCAGGTGGGGGAAACACGATTTTTGCTGGAGCTTGCTGGATGCCAGGATTCGATGAAAGACCCTGTTGTTGTGGAATAGAATATTTGTTAAACTATGTAAAGATGTGTGGCTGTTTCACCTTGCCTGCCTAAGACACCTGATTGGTCTAATAAAAAGTTGAATAGCCAAAGGCTGGGCAGAGGAGGGGCTGGTGAACAGAGAGAAAAGGGAGCCAGCCAGCTAGCTGGGGGCCAGACAGACAGACATAGAGGAGCAGGAAAGTAGGATGGTCAGTACATAGATTAATAAGATGGGTTAATTGAAGTTAAAGGAAAAAAGCTAGCTAGAAGCAAACCTAAGCTAAGGCCAAGCATTCATAATTAATAATAAGTCTCCATGTCAATTTGGGGGCTGGCAGCCCAGGAAAGCCTGATATTCACTGACTCAAAGGATAAGATGAACATACACACACACACACACACACGCACGCACGCACGCACGCACGCACCAGGTATCCCACACTCGCACACATACACACAGGTATCCCACACTCACACATGCACAGGTATACACACACACACACAGGTATCACACACACACATACACACACACACACACACACACACACACACACACACACACCCATCACACACACACCCC